AAAAAAAAAAAAAAAAAAAAAAAAAAAAAAAAAATCGAGGTCTCTGATCTATTGTCATTTTATTTTAGTACAGGGTGAGATATGAGTGTAGGTTCATTGTTCTGCAGGTGGATAGACAGCACCATTTGTTAGAGGCTATCTTTCCCCCAGCATGTTTCTGGCCCCTTTGTCAAACAGAAAGTACTCTCTGTTCCCTACATCTGCTAATTATTAGAATAGCAAAAGAGCATCTATGCTTCCTCGTAAAACACTTTTCCCAGTCCTATATCCCTAAAACCATTCTTACTATAACGCCTGATCTCTAAAAAAATACCAAGTCTCATTAGGAGGGAAAGGCACACCTCACTGTGCTGCTGGAGGTCCCTCACACTTATATGGAATTTAAAACAGGCACATTTAGTGGGGCAGAGTGGGGCACACATGTAATCTCAGCTACTTAGTAGGTTGAGGGAGGAGGATGGCAAGCTCAAGGCCAGCCTGGGCAACTTAGCAAAGCCCTGTCCCAAAATAAAATAAAAAGGACTGGGATGGAGTTCAGCGGTAGAGCACTTGCCCATCATGTGCAGTGCTCTGTGTTCAATCTTCAAAGTAAACAAAACAAAAAACCTGGCACATTTCAGTGACGCATTCCCTTCAAAACATAATCAGACATAGCTACAGACTCTGGAGGACAAGCACTACAATGTGGTTTGCAATAAATCAAAATAATAAATGTCCACCAAGGAGGGAAATGACAAGTTATCATGAATAATGATGCAAGAGATGAGTGGAATCTAGTTGCATACCCAGTGGAAATGCAGAGACGATGACAGAGACGATGACAGTCGCATATCTTCAGTCATGCAGTAATAACCTCAAACACACATTTTTAATGTGAGTGGAGTTTTGTAAAGCTTTCTAAAGGTGGTAATACAGTTACATAAGAAGGAAAAAATGGGAACAAAGCTTTTGAAAGTGGGGACGAAAGAGGGGGATGAAGAGAGGGTAGTGGAATGGGGAAAAAAAAATCCAAGTCATATCACGTACAGGTACAAATTCTCTATGATGAATGTGACCATAATGTATATCTAAAATGTAGCAATAAAATGTGATTGGAGAAAAAAAGAAAGAATTTATTAGCGAGGCCAGGCATGGTAGTGCATGCCTGTAATCCCAGCCCTTGGGAGGCTGAGGCAGGAGGGTCCCTGAGAGCTTGAGGACAGCCTGGGCTACACAGTAAGTTCAAGGCCAAAAAACAAAATAAGGCCTGTCTCAAAAAACAAAATAAGACAAAAAAAGAATTTATTAGCCAGGCACAATAGCTTGTCATCTTGGCAATGAGGGAGGCTGAGGAAGGAGGATCTAAAGTTCACCTCAGCCACTTAGTTTTAGATCCTGTCTCAAAATTAAAAATTAAAAATGAGCTGAGGCTATAGCAAAGTGCAAAGGCCCTGGGTTTAAACTCCAGTGCCACAAAGAAAGGGCAATTTATTAATTTCAAAGAAACAAGATATTTTAGTTTGGGAGAAAGGTCACACTTTAAATTAAAGTTTGTAAAATTAAAAACATTATGTCTTTTTTTTTTTTTTGCCATGCTAGGCATCATCCAGGGCCTCACACATGCTAGGTAAATGCTATGGCACTGAGCTACATCCCCACTCCTTTTCAAAAAAATTTCGAGACATGATCTTGCTAAGTTGCCCAGGCTGGGCTTGAACTTCCAGTCCCCATGCTTCAGTCTTTGGAGCAGCTGAGACTACAGGCATATGCCACCATACCTAACTATCAGTGTCTAAAAATATCTTATTTCTGGACAAGGTGTAGTGGCACATACCTGTAACCTCAGCACTTGGGAGGCTGAGCTGGGAGGATCACTAAGCCTGGGCTATATAGCAAGTTCAACGCCTGTGAGAACTACACACCAAGATCCTGTCTTAAAAAACCAAATAGTTTTATTTTTGAGCCATACTTTAATTTTTTTAAAATTTCTGTGATACTAGGGATTGCATATAGGGCCTGAGACATGTTAAGCAAACAGTCTACTGCTGAACTATATCCCCAGTCCATTTTACTTCCTTTCATTTTAAGATAGGCATGGTATCACCAAATTGCCCAGGGTTGGCCTTGAATGCAAGATCTTTCTGCTTTCGCTTCCTGAGTACCTGGGATTATAGGTGTATACTATCCAGTCCGGCTTCTGAACCATATGTGATTTAATTTTAATTAAGATCTATAGGCACCAAAGCAATACCCAGGATTCCATTCTAGAAACCCAGAAAATACACTATGATATCTTGAGAAGCTACACATCACAATAGAGAAAACAAACTATTATTATTGTCCTGAAACACACAGCCATTATCTTCCTACACCATAACAGGAAACAGAAGTTTGGAAAGTACTTACCTGGTATCTTCCAGTGTCACCTGACCAGACTTTTCATCCACTACAATTTTACAGTGATCTCCAGAGACCAGTTTATTGCTGGGGAATGAGAGGTCACAACCTAAAACAGAGGACAGGGAGACACTGGAAATTGAGGTTCTGTGAACTCTACTCCCTTTGCTTTACCAAAGTATGTGCCAAAGTGCCCACACAGGAAACATTTAAGTAGCTAAGCATTTAATCCAAAGTAAAAGAGGAGGGCTGTGTCCTAAGCCTTCTGGAACCCCATTACCTAGCAGATGACCCACCATGACTTCAATAGCTTCAGGACAATTTGGTTGTTTTTCAAAATTAATTATTTATTTATTTATTTATTTATTTATTTATTTATTTATAACTTGGTTGCTTTTTTAAGATAAAGTCTCAACATGTAGTCTAGGCTGGCCTCAAATTTGAAATTCTCCTAGCTCAGTCTCCTAAGTGCTGGGTCTTCAGAACAGTTTGGTTTTTTTCTTTTGATGGTACTGGGAATTGAGCCCAACATCTTCACACTGAGCTAGACTATTTTTTAATTTTTAACTTTGAGACAGGGTCTCACTAAGTCACTATGTTGCCCAACTGAGGCTCAAACTTCCAATCCTCCAGCTTCAGCCCCATAGAGTGCTGGGATTACAGGTGTGCATCCCTATGCTTGACTCTTTTTTTTGTTTTGTTTTGTTTTTGTTTTTCTCCGGTACCGGGAACCGAACTCACGACCTTGCACTTGCCAGGCAGGCGCTTTTGCTGCTGAGCTAAATCCCCAGCCCCTATGCTTGACTCTTTAGCACAATTTTATGATGCATATGCACAGCTAGTCTGATAAATATCAGAACTTAAATAAAACTAAGGGACTTAACTTAATCCTTAACTTTTTCCTCTATTTAACCTAAGGTTTCAAAACCCATCACAAAATTGAAGCAATGACAGAAACAGTCACAGAAAATCTGAGCAAATTATCATGGACACATGTACAAGAAAATATAGAACAGAAGGTGAAAGTGTCCAGAGCAGAATACAGCCAGATCTTCATTGAATATAAGGGAGAAAGGGAAATTCTCAAATATATAATTGCTCCTTCTTTAAATCAAAAGTACAAACACTTTCAGAAAACTATATGTAATGACTAATTACTACTACTTATAATATAATAGCAGCCTATGGTTCTACATAAAGATACTATAGGAATTAAAGACAATTTAAAACTAAAGAATTTGGGCCAGGGATACAGCTCAGTGGCACAGCACCTGCCTGACAAGCGCGAGGTCCTGAGTTCAGTTTGTGGTTAAAAAAAAAACAAACTTGAAGAATTTAGCACTCTGGAGGCTGAGGCAGAAGGAGTACCAAGAATTCAAAGCCAGCCTGCACTTCACAGTGAATTCAAGGCCAGCCTGAACTACATGATAAGACCCTCTCTCAAAAAGAAAAAGGGAAAAAAAAGAAAACGAGGTGAGGATGTAGGTCAGCAGTTGAGCGCCCCAGGTTCCATCTCTATTACAGCTGGCCAGTCAACCAAATAAAACTGGAGAATTTGTGAAGGAAATAATGACGAGTCAAATTTATTTCTAAAAATGTTCCATGTGGAACCTGTTTTGGCCTGAGTTTGTTTGTTTGTTTGTTTTGAGGGGGTGGTGGTGCTGTGGATTAAACCCAGAGCCTCAAGCATGCTAGGCAAGTGTTCTACCATTGAGCTACATCCCCAGCCTTGGCCTGAGCATTACTCCATTACTGATCTAAGTGTCTATACAGAAGGATCAATATTGTTTTGGTTTTCCTCCTGTTGGCCAGTTTTATTGGCAGGCCAGGGGAAGAGCCAGGGCCAAGTGCCCCTCTCTACCTGCTGACCCAAGGGAATTTTTTAAAAAAATTTATTTTTTTTTATTTTTTTGGTACCAGGAATCGAACTCAGGACCTTGCACTTGCCAGGCAGGCACTGGTGCCACTGAGCTACATCCTCTATTTATCTATTTATTTATTTGAGGCAGGGTCACACTATGTAGTTTAGGTTGGCCTCAAACTCACTGTGTAGCCCAGGTTGGCCTCGAACTCGCAACTATCCTCCTGCCTCTGCCTCCTGAGTCCTGGGATTACAAGCGTGCACCATCGCACCTGGTGGAACCCCTTTAAAGGAAGGTAGGCGTCCAGAGCCTGCTGAATCAGAGGACCTTGAGGTAGGTAGGGTGTAGTGAGCATTATAGCCCACAAGCAGGTTCTGGTAGGTAGTAACACACTGCTTCAGGCACTACTTGATGCTTGTGAACTGCTACATTGATGTCTGCGACACCTGGTTCTGCAGTTTTATGTCAGCACACTCGTCTCCAGACTGAGCTTTCATGCTGCTAATCAGTATCTGGTCATATACCAGGGAGGCTCCAAGGTGGGTCTCTGTTTCTGCCAACATGCCTTCTGGGGCAGTTTTAATGTTGGTCTGTAACTGTCCCTCCACCTCAAGACCCTGGAGGGTACAACACAGGTCAGTGATCCCAGAGTTGCTCATCTGGAGCTGTTCAGTTTGGGCAGAAACCTCCTCATTCAGCTCCTCAATCCAGCTAGTGAACCAGTTTGATGCAATCTTGGTGATGCTGATGCCAGAACAGACTCTACTTCCCCATGGACCTGGCCACTCACCTGGCCTTCAGGGCATTGGTTTCTATTTTGTGGTTCTTCTTCTCCTACTAACAGAAAACCCCTCCCTAAGGCCTTCAATACCCATCTTTGGGTTGATCTTGACCAGAGGAGCTGCTCCAGCACTTTGGGCAGGCCACTGATACCAGCCTTCATGCTCAAAGACAGGGCTTGCTTCATTCATCTCAAAATTGATTCAAAAGGGACTGGGAATGTAACTCAGTGGCATAAGCGCCTCCCTGGCAAGCACAAGGTCCTGAGTTCAATTTCCAGTGCAAAAAAAAAAAAACTGATTCAAAAGTTATCTGTAGCCAGATTGGTATTGTTGTCAATATACAGAATAATCCTGGAGTTCTCCATAGCAGGACCAAAAATCTTGTCCCCCAGGTCCTCAATGGTCTTGTAGTAGTGGCTGTGCTCACTGGAGAGCCCAGGCTTGCTTCTGGTACCAGCCTTGGTCCTTTGCCTTCATCCTACCAACCATCTACTTCTGGGCATACACCAAGGCCAGGTGGTTGCTGAGCTTCTCCATGGTGATATTCTAACAGACCACCAGTAGTTCAGTGGACCCAGCCAAAGCACCTGCACAGTACTCATCACCATGACCCCCAAAGGAGAAGGAGGACACAAAATGTGTGCAGCACATGGACACGTCACCATCACTCCCAACTCCCCAAAGATGCTGGGTTCACAGAAGGGACTCCCCCACCCACAACACATGAAGCCACCATGTAAGCACCCAAAAGATGAAGTGGACAACATCTGGCAGTAGCCACAAGAAGTCATGGCAAGACACATTCAAGCAACAGTAGTCTAAGGAGGAGCTTCTCGTGGTAGGAGTCAGAAGAATCAATCCTATTAAGTCACCAGTTTTCTCCTGGACTGCTTCAAAAACAACACAATTCCAACAAAAATTCCAGAAGGCTTATAGAAACCAACAAGCTAACCCTAAATTTAACGGGGAAAATTTTAGAATATCTAAAGCAATTTTGAAAAGAACCAAGTTGGAAGTCTAATTACTTGGCTGACTTACCAGCAAATGACAGTGATCAAGACAGTGTTGTATTGGTACTTAAGCCACTCAGAATGTGGTATTTTATTGCAGTAGTATCAGCAGACTAATACAACAACCTTTGTTTTTCTGGCAACATTAATACATTCATTGACAATATTTTTAATACCAAACAGATTTAACTGAACATTTGTGCCCCATGTTTTAACATAAAATGTTATGTCCTAACAAGAAATAACATTCATAACGTGTTGCAACAGTTGCTAACATTAAGTGGTAACGAAAAGCCAGGCAGTTTCTCTCCAGGACCCCTGTTCTCCACCAAACCTTTTAATGCATTGAGTAAATACAACATTTTTTTTTTTTTTTTTTCAAAAGTTTCTAATGACGGGGCTGGGGATATAGCTCAATGGCACAGTGCCTGCCTGGCAAGCGTGAGGTCCTGAGTTTGATTCCTGGTACCAAAAAAAAGTTTCTAATGATACACACTTTCAATATTAGTAAAATTTGAGACTGGGATGTAATACTGCTAAAAGAAGACATATTATATTGTAAGGTATACTGTAAGGTGTAAAACTTATAACAACAAAAATCTGTTTCCAATAATCCCAGCACTCATGAGGTTGAGGCAGGAGCTTGAGATTTTGAAACCATTGTGGACTACACTGCAAGTTTGAGGCCTTCCTGGCCTAACTAACCCATGAGACAGTGTCTAAAAAAAAAAAAAAGTTTGATTTCTACCTCTGAATTTTCCAATATTCATTGTTACTGATTTTTAACTTTATTTCACTGCAGTCAAAGAAATTCTGTATTGTAATGAAAATCCCGTTCTGGAGGACGTATGACAACTGGAGGACGTGAGCACAACTTTATAAAGTTGTAGGGAGAAATCAGTGATCTACATTGAGCGTTTCGGAAGAGTCAGTGGCATGTGTCACACGACAGCCCACTTCCCTGGAAGGCACCGTGCACCGTGCACCCCTCACCCCGCCTGGTGGGCTCCGCCCGCTCCCCCCTCTTCGTCCTGCCCCCACCGTGGGTGCCCTCCATTCCTTAGTGTCTATCCCCACCCTGCTGGATCCTCGACCCCGTCCTCGCTCCCCTTCCCGACCCCCGCTCCCGTCTTCCGTGCCCGTCCCCTGCCCGCCGCCCCTCACCTCTCCGGCGCCCGAGGGTCCATTCACGCTTCCGCAGGAGGACGTGTGGCTCGCTCTGCTCGGCGCCCAGACGGAGAAGCCGGCCCCAGGGCGGCGGAAGCGGCGGCTGCTCGTTTTCCCCGGGCGGTTCCATCGAATTCACATCTACGAGACCCGGAAACGCCGCTGAGGAGGGCGCGCCGCCCCAGGCAAGAAAAGGCTTCGTTAGCCGCCCCCTGTGCCGCTTACCCCACGTCCACAGCTGCGGCCGTCGCCCGCCGCCTGCCGCTCACCCCACACCCAGCGCCGATCCCGGAACCGGCAGCAGACCGCCGCCGCTGTCAACAGACATCGCAGTCCTTCAGCTGATCCGCGGGCGGAGCCATGAAGCGTGCCCTGCGATTGGCTGGCGGCGGTACCTACCGAGAGCGGTGGCTAGAGCGGCAGCGGCGGCGACCCTAAAACGTGGACTTTGGGGCTAGCGGAGCCTGCGCAGAAGAGGCGCTGTGCGCAAATCCGCCATCTTTGACACTGGCCGGGACGACTTCATCTCCCTAGGATCAAGGAAGTAGCTGCGTTGGACGCCATGTCGCGTAGCGGGGAAAGGGACGGGGAAACTTCTGGGATGGACGTCCCAAGTTCTTATAGCTTCGCCTAAAATAAAGTGCCGTTTAGATAGAGAAGTAACCGTACACTTTATCGGTAGTAAGATAAATGTGAATGGAAAGTGTGTTCGTGTACCATTGTTACACGTGGATTACAAAGATGGGGACATCTGAGCACTCCGGGCGAGCTGGTGGCGAAGAGAGCATCTTCGGTGCTTGTCAGCAAGTAAGCCTGGATCACTCTTGGAGGGCTGGCTTGCCATATCTTTCCATTGTAAGTGCGCATTTCCTTTCAGCAGTCCCACCTCTTGGACTCTATCGGCTTTCCCGTGTGTAGTGTAAAGGATGCTCAAGGAGGCGCACGCCCCGACCCCCGGCAAAACAAAACAAAACAAAACAAAACAAAAACCGGCCAAGACGAGAAACTGGACACAGTAAGGTTCGTCCATGCCGAGAAATTTCAGGCAGCTTGGAGAACAAGGCAATGTCAGCACTGTTGGAGCCCTCCAAAATGGAAGTACTGCAAATGTGGAGTAGGCATTAAATTTGGTTAAAAAAGATGTATACATTTATCAACATACTTGGAATACTGGTGTTGTACGGGCCACTCAGAGTTGCATACGCAGTCCGTTTTCCGACCAAACCAAAGGAGAACATTTATTTTGGAGAAAAGGAAAAAGGCTTTATTCAAGGCTAGATCCGCGGATATGGAGAAGCCTCATTTGCCTCAAATCACAACCGCATGGTGTACAGGTGTAAAAGGGTCTTCTGTGGCAAGGAACAGAGCAGAGGAAATACGATGAAGCAACAGGCCCCAGGTTTGCTTCATCTCCCTGCTTCCCCACCTTTTTCTTCTCCTTACCTTGTGGAAAGGGAACACCGCCTCCCGGGGCCTGCCTCCACATAAGCTGCCCACTCATCTGGACAGAGGAGAGGGTGATGATGTCTCCAGCATGAGGAAGTTAAGAGAAGTAATTTGTCTTCAGAAGAAAAATCTGAAACCTCCTTCCGATCTTTGCTTCCTTCTCAAAGCTTATCCCTGTGAATTGGTGCCATTGCTTCAGTTTTTAATTCCCATTATCACTGCAACAAGTTCCCACAAGTGTCCTGTTTCAAAGAGAGTGAAGAGACTATTTTTCACTCCTACAAGTGGGCATCCATTAAAGACAGGGAGGTGCCTCGCTAGATGATTCACTGTGTGATTGTCACAGAGCATACTTGGATGAACCTGGGTGTTCGAGCTTAACTATGGGATATACCTAGGCCATATGCTATAGACCGATGGTGGTGAACCTGTGGCACATGGGCCCTGGTGGGCTGTTTGTTCAGTTATTGAAAGCTTTAAAAGGTTCACCATCACTGCTATAGAATTACTGCGGCTTGGGTACAAACCTGTATAGCATTTGCTATATTTTATTGTGGGCAATTGTAACACTATGGTGCATACTTGTATATTCTTTTGTGGGAAGAGAGCCTTCACTGAGATACATCCTCAGACTTCATTTTTGACACAGGGTCTTACTAAGGGTTAGTTAAGTTGTCCACACTGGACTTGAACTCAGCAATCCTTCTGCCTCACTGGAATTATAGGAGTGCACGGTCATGCTCAGGTGATTCTTTGAACTAAATGTTTTATGTTTGTCCCTCCAATATAGGTTTTATTTATTTATTTATTTTTGGTTTTTCTCCGGTACCGGGAACCGAACTCATGACCTTGCGCTTGCCAGGCAGACGCTTTGCCGGTGAGCTAAATCCCCAGCCCCTCCAATATAGGTTTTATTTTCATCTTTCCTCATGTCTTTTAAATCATTTTTTCCTTTGGGCTCATGACTACATCTCTTTCTGCAATATTTTACTTTACAAATTGAGGAAAGGGGAAAATTGGAGCATAGAAATTGTATTTCAGAATTACCAAATGATACCAGCTGAGGGAAGGGTCTTTATAGAAGAATGCCAAGTACTAAATGTAGAAGAAATTATAGAACAAGAAAAATAACCAATTTTCTACTCTATGAAATTATTCATTTATATACACACACACAAATGTTAGGTGAAAGGATTGAGGGGAACTGGATATTTAGTAAATGCTGTAGTATCACTTCACAGGTTACTTCCTGATTTTAAGGACAAAAAAATCCCAACTTTATTATGGTGAGACATGGATTTTTAACCTGCTACCTTTGATCAGTCTTAACCCACCCAAAATTTGTTCTAGTAGAAATTATGTGTTCATCAGTCCAGTCTGATACGAAGTCCATATCATCCTGTAGGGACTATTCTAGCAGAAAAGAGAAAAGTTTGTATGCTCTGATCTCACCCTGAAGAAACATCAGACAACCCTGAATGAAGGTCACTGTCAAAAGGCAAGGAGTGATGAAGAAAAGTCCTTAGGAGCCTCCACATCAAAAGGCACATGACTGTGCCGATGTGTAAGGTTATGGGACTCAACAGAAACATCATCATATGGCTGGGTGTAGTGGTGTACGCCTGTAATCCCAGCACTTGGGAGGCTGACGTAGGAGGGTTGCTGCAAATTCAAAGCTAGCTTGGGCTACAAAGTGAGTTCAAGGCCAGCCTAAATGTATAGTGAAATCCTGTCTCAAAAAGACAAAATACTCAATCCTGGATTGAACACAGTGCTGGAGGGGAAACTCTTTTAGGGAAGGGCATTATAAACATTAGGTGACTTGGTGAAATTCTGACACAGTTAAATTCATTGATAACTAGTGGGTTACACACACGTGATTCTCAAGAACCACTATCCATGTACATACATACATTCACAGAGACCACACAAATAAAACAAGTGAGGGCGCATTTCTACCAATAGATAAATCAGGTAAAGAATGTTCAGGTGTTTTATGTGCTCTTTTTGTCTCCCATTCCACTGTACACAGGATTGATCCCAGGACCTTTACAGTAAGCTACATCCCTAGCCATATTCTTTTTTAATTTTGAAATAGAGTCTTGCTAAGTCACTAAAGTGATAAGTACCTCAACTGGCTCGATAGCTTGATTATTATGAACTGCACTGTGAGAAACCTGGGTATGCAGATCTCTATAGTATGTTGCACTATTGTTGTTGTTGTTTTTCTTTTTTCTTTTTGAGACAGGGTTTCACTATGCAGCTCAGGCTGGTCTTGAACTCACTTTGTAGCCCAGCCCGGGGCTACACTGTGAGGCCTTGAACTCACAGTGATCCTCCTAACTTAGCCTTCCAACTGCTGGGACTACAGGCATGTGCCACCCTGGTAGGCTGCACTGTTGTTCTTAATATGTTTCTCGATTTTTGTTTGTTTTTCAGAGATAGGGTCTCAGCTGGGGATATAGCTCAGCGGCATAAGTGCTTGGCTGGCAAGCCTGAGGTCATGAGTTTGATTCCCGGTAAAAGAAAAAAAAAATATGTATACACACACACACACACACACATAGTTCAGAGACAGGGTCTCACTTTGTAGTTCAGGATGGCCTTGAACTTGCAGTGATCTTGCTGCCTCAGTCTCCCAAATGCTTGGACTACAAGTGTGTGCCACTATCCTTGGCTATTCCTGGACTGAGTCCACTAATTCTGATTTTTTTTTTTCAGTATACAAGATGACTTTGGTCCCTGTATTTGCTGAAAAACAACCCTATTTGACCTAAATTTTCAAATAGTGCTTCCTTCCACAGCATACATACTAAATTGGAATAATACAGACAAGATTAGCACTGCCCTTACACAAGGATGACATGCAAATTTGTAAAGCATTCCATATTTTTATTTTTGAATAAAATAAAAAGTGGAAGAAAAATGTCAGGCATGGTGGCATACCCCTGGCATGTCATCCCAGCACTCAGGAGGCTGAGGTAGGAGAATTGCCACAAGTTAAAGGCCGGCCTGGACTACACAGCAGACCCTGTCTCAAAAAAAAAAAAAAAAAAAAAAAAAGAAGAAGAAGAAAAAACAATGTTATATAAATGCAAAATAAAATTTCAAATGCATCAGCCTATAGGTTTTGTTTGCTGTGTGTATTTTGTTTGTTTTTGTTTTTGTTTTTGTTTTTTCAGTACTGGGGTCCATGCAAGTACCAAGGTCCTTCACACTATATCCCTTTTGGATTTTTTGAGGCAGTGTCTTGCTTACTTGCTGGGCTCAAACTTGGCAATCGCCCTGCCTCCACCTCCCAGAGTGCTTTGGGACAGGTTCTTGCTAAGTGAGTAAGTTGCCCAGGTTGGGCTTGAACTTGTGATTGTACTCCCTCAGTCTCTTAGAGTGTTAGGATTACAGGCATATGCTACCACACTGGCTAGTTTACATTAGTCTCTATTAATTTGTCAAAACGTTCTCATTAGTTTATTGTTTTTCTCAATTAATTTTTGAGGGGTTCTTCATGTAGTATGTTCTGCAATGGGAAGCAGAAATGCCACCCAGGATTTGGAAGCAGATGTATTTTACATTGACAGGCACTGATAGGGATCATTCCCAAATTATTAGGCCATGATCTCTGGGGTCTGTGAATTATATGGGATAAGCAAGTAGGCAATACAGAGGCAGAATGGCTTGGTAACTGGGGATTGGTTCTTACAATATGCATCATAGTGACTGGCTGTGCACACAGTGACCAGCCGTTTCTAAGAAACAGCCGTTTCTAAGAAACTGAAACTATTACCTGAGCAACTAACAAACAAGTATATGGCTGGGGGAAGGAGCATCTTCTGTTACACTTAAAATAATGTTAATAATTTTGATAATCTTGAATTATACCTTTGCTTCCTGTACTACTAATTTCTATTCTCTTCATTTAGCAAATTTAAGGACTGTTCTGCAATGTTTCAAAGTGAGGTGGACAGAACCGTGTGTTCCCTACCAGTGGCTTCAGCTTCTCCTTTGCCACCACTGCCCATGGTCCTTTCCCAGCTGGACCCAGCACTGTATTACTGCACCTGTTGGGACATTGGGACACCCCCCTTCCCCGTTATCCACAGGCCTCCAGCTTTGGTTCAAACCATGCTTTGGCCCTTGCTGCTCCTTTTATACTATGTGTATTACAGATTGGGTAACGAGCTCAGAAGGCTTAAAATAATTTCTAAAAAAAGCTTTGCACAGCAGTAAAGTGATTAACAATGTAAATGAAGCATAGTTTCTGCTGATCTTTGCAGGTCCTCAATCTTTCTGGCTTAATTTACAAACAATGTAAAGATTTTGAATTACCTGAAAAAACCATGGTTTTGTGCAGGGGAAGTGCAGTGTACTAACTGTGAGGGAAAGAGTGGTCCATTCCTAGGGAGATATACTCGGGCTTAGGCCAATGTCTGCCACCTGGAACTGGGACCTTCATGGGTGCTAAGTTTTAATAGATGAGCAAAGCATTACATGGGTGAAATGTCAGCATGAATGCTGAGCTAACTAACCTACCATAACCATCCTTGCACCCCAAGAAATGTACCACTGCATTAACAAACATCAGAGATGCTGGCTTGTTCCTTCCATTACAAAACTCCCAAGGCAGCAGCATGCAGTTTAACACCTGCGCTCCAGCATCAGCCAAGGTAGGGACCTGATAGGGATCATCTACACCTGTTTATGTGGTTGAAGGCATTGTGACAGGAAAGTAACTCCAGGCAGATTGCTGGTGTGGAGACATGGAACCCAGTTCTGACATTGCCCTTTCTTCCTGTGGTCTTTGGCAAGACACAGCCCATTGACACATGGATTTACATCAGCTGGTGTCTGGAATTTCCATCCCTATGACCCTCCCAAGACGCTGCTCCACAGACAGGATAGATGTGATGACCCTTCATCTGCACTGCCTCATCTTTCTTGGAAGTGATGCTCCTGGTGCCTCTAACTTAATGTTACACTACGTGTTTAAACCTCAAAGGTCAGAGTCCTTAAGTTTACTCATGCACTCTCTGCAGACTCCAGCCTGGCGAGCTAGGGGTAGGGCACAAATACTGATCTGTAACTATAGCTGAAGCACAAAGTGCTCCCTCTATGGTTTAGGTGTACCTGGATTACAGCACGCTGAACATGGATCAGGTTTAGTTAGGGATATCTAGTTGGAATGAATGCCAGAATTCATCTGCAAATTGTTTCCAATGATCACACTCACATATATCCATTCAGGAAATAGTTTACTCAGTGAATACATCAGGACAGAGACTCTCTACTACAGGTCTCTGGAGCTTAAAGATGCTCCTCCCAGAATGTTCATATCCAGACAGCTACCTACCCACCCTTTTATGTGGAGCAGTCACGACTTAGGGTCTCAGTGTACCCTGGGAAGGAATGGTGGTGGGAATGAGGAAAAGATAGACAGACAAATAGCTGGGTCAGGCACAGATCTCTCTCTCTTAAGACTAGGAGAGGAACTGCCCAAGAACAGTAGAGGGTTGATATTAATTTCAGCTTCTCTATCCAGCAAGCAGTTAACAAGTTGCAGCAGCTTGTTTACATGCTTCAAGGAGCTCCTGTGTTCTTGGGCTGGCTTCATCCTGCATGCATAATACTTTCCAGCTTCAGCTGTTCCCAACAGAGCAGGGCTGGTCCTTGGTCTTGGATTTCATACTCTGACACACCCTCCCTCATGCAAACAGTATCCAGAGCCAGACACCGTGCACACTTCATTCATGCCCTTGGAGAGCTGCCTCATGCTACTGTGACTTGGACATGAACCAGCAGTATTGTTTGGGCAGCTGCAGTGGGAACACCAACTGTTTATTTATTTTTGTTTTTGAGCCAAGGTTTTGCAGTGTTGCTGAGGCTGGTCTTACATCCCGGAGCTTAAGCAATCCTGCCTCAGCCTCCTAAGTGGTGTATGCCCCTGTGCCTGGCTAAGGTCATTGTTTAACGTTGCTTTCACAAAATGACTCAAAATTAACCCTCAAAAGTTAATGTAAAAAAAAGTTAATGTTAATTTGCTACCATGATGCCCTTTATTGGGAGTCTGAGCTTGACTTATGTTTTAAAAGTATTTTTGGTACTAGCGATTGAACCCAAGCCCTCACACATGCTAAGTATATGCTCTAACTGAGCTACAGGTTCATCCCTAAAAATACAAAAATGATAGGACTGTTTAAAATAAGAACTCAAGTTAGAAATGTCCCTTCATTTCTGTTTCTCTTTCCATTTATTTCACAGTGAACACAGCTACAGCAACATCTCTTTGCTAGGGACCTAAAGGATTCAGGTGTTGTGAAATAAACTTGGTGTTCCTGTTTACTTTTAGCTTTCTTAAATTAACAGTTGCAATGACAAGATATTAAGAATACCTGGATAAAATAATAATCATATGGAAAAACCCTACAAAGAAAAAGATCCCATAAACAATTGCTAGACAGCCTCAAAACAAATCTACTTATGAAAGCATATAAGATCTGGTAATGGGGTAGAGTATCAGGTATAGACCCGTGGAGGAAAGCATACTTCAGGTCAAACTTAGTTGAATTTCTTCCTGTTCCACTTCCCCTGAGAAATTATACTGCCTGCTATGTTACAGTTATCATGAGAGATAAAATTTATAACAATAGCATGAGACAGAAGGTCCTGTATTGCAACTTGTTATGGTTTGTGTTTGGGTGTCCCCCCAAAGCCTCATGCGGCCATGGGGCAGGCTTTTAGAGTTTGATTATGGGTTTGAAAGCTACACCCACCCTGGGGTGGATAGTTTGTATATGCAAGGGAGAGGAAAAGGGTGCTTGAGGCCATTCCTCCCCCATTCTGCGCTGGTGTGTGTTTGTTGCTTTGCTGTGTTCTGCCACCCTGAGCTGTAGCTCTCTGCCATGTGCCACTCTGCCTTGTAATCTGCCAAGTCTGGACTGAAACCTCCACAAACTGTAAGCAAAATAAACCTTTCCTTCCTTAATTTTGGGCATCAGATATTTTGTCCCAGCAACGAGAGAAAAGTAACCAAGACACAACTGAAGTGGGGAGGAAGAATTCTGATGGTAGAAACCATCATGTGGGTGTGGTGGTGCACATCTGTAATCCCAGCACACTAGAGGCTAAGGTAGGAGGATCACTGTTCACTGTGAGTTTGCGGCTAATCTGGGCTACATAGTGATTCAAGGCTGGCCTGAATTATAGTGAGAGTCGCTCAAAAAACAAAAAATCCCCCAGCATACAGAGATCATTTCAGTAGTATTACAAAGAAACCATTAAATGTACTTTAACAATTCTATATTCAAATTATGCCATCTCAAACTATTTCTCCTTTCTCTTCCCTCCCTCTTTCCTCCTCTTCGCTCCCTCTCCTTTTTCTTCTTCTTCTCTCACTCTCCCTCCCTCTGTATTGAACTCAGTGCTTTTGTACTGAGCAATAGCCCTCTTTTTATTTTAAAAATGTGTTTTCTTTTGAGATGGCTTCACTAAGTAAGCTGGGCTCAGCTTGAACTTACACACTCCTCTTTCCTCAACCCTCCAGAGTACTAAGATTTCAGACATGTGCCACTACATCTGGCTTAAAAATATTAATTTTATTCAATAATGAATTCCTTAAGTATAGGATCAGAGTGATACACAAGTTTATTAACACAGACCACACTGAATAGCACTTCCCAGAACTCCCTGCAGAGAAAAACTGCACAAACCCAATGGGAAGAAAAAAAAACCTGTTGTGCAGCTGAGTAACAGTAATTTCTCTGTAAAGGAAGTTTTTATGCCAACAAGAGGGAACAAGAAGCAAAAGGAAGTTGAACTAATTTTTTGTGTGTGTGGGCACTAGAGATTTCACCCAGGGCCTTTGCACTGAGCTACATCCCCAACCCTTTTGAGACAGGGTCTACTAAGTTGGTAAAGTACCCAGGATGGGTTTGAATTTGTGATTCTCCTGCCTCAGCATTCCCAGACTGCTGGAGTACAGGTAGGAGCCCACCCAGTAGGAGATACTTATCAGATGATAAGGTATGGTGCATCCACACTAGGCCCCTTGGGAAACCTGCTTAACTTCTTTTGCTTCATGGGATGATAACCATCTTTGCTCTTGTGCAGTTTGTGATGGGATGAGTGGTGTGAAGTCCCTACAGTAATTCTGTTTGCATGTTTATTTTCTGGTACTTAGAAGTTAGCCCAAGAAGGGTTCAATTAAGCTACATCTGCAGTCATTTTAGAAAAAATTTTTGAGACAGTGGCATGTTAAGTCACTAGGCTGGCCTCTAACCTGAAATCCTACTTCAGGCTCCACAGTAGCTGGGATTACAGGGACAGGAGTGTGCCACCACACTGACATAGAGTAGGTTTTCATCTATGGCCAATTAGCTCCACTTCTATAAGAAGACCCTTTGGAGAATGTTGCCTTTTACCCACGTGTTAAGTTGTTTTCACCCTTCTTGTTGGGAATCTGAAATATGCCCAGCCCTTCCTGATCCCCAGGAGTTTCCAGCCTATTGCTTTCCAGTGCTGTCTTTCCTAGTCTCACAAGTTTCCTTTCACAAATGTGTGAATATTGACTAAGCCTAAGTATTCATGGGGACCCCCTGCAGATTTCTGGAGCCCCATCTCTCCAAAGCCCCCTTCTCTGCAGCACCTTTCTTTGCAAATTCTAGTACCTTATGGCCTCTCTAAATGCCACTCTTGTTTCTTCTCTGCTTATCACATGTCCAAAAACTACCATTCGTGAAGATATTGAATCAACTTAAGTATCCACTGATGCACTAATGTATAAAAAGAACTGTATGTGCTGAGATATTACTCAGCCATAAAAAGAGTGAAATGGTGGTAAAATCATCTAATTCTAGCACTCTGGGAGACTGATGCAAGAAAATCACAAGTTGAAGCTCAGGATAGGCAATTTAGCAACTTGGTAAGACTGTATCAAAATAAAAATTAAAAAGGACTGAGGATTTATCTTTATGGGAAGGCCCTAACTTGAATCCTCAGTATCACCAAAAGAAGAAAAAGGCATTTCTAGAAATGGAACTGGAAAACTTAATAAGAAGTGAGGTCAGGCAAATAATGCATGTGGAACTTAAATCTTATCTCAAAGGAATATAGAATAGTGGTCCCCACACCCATGGGACAGTGTGGAGAAAGACAGATGCAGAGAGGATGGTTACCTGACCAGGGGTGCAATTGTTTGGATGGGAGGAATAAATTCATGTTTGTAAGCACAGCAGGGCTATTAACATCAATTAGCTGCACATTTCTGAATAATTAATGAAGTGGGTTTTGATTGTTTCTAATGTAAGGAAACAGTAAATGTCTGAAGTGATTACAGCACCATTTACCCTGATCTATCATCAGCGTTTGTATGCACATATCAAAATGCCACACTTTTCCCCACAAATATTTACAATTACAATGTGTCAATTAAAAATATATAAATAAAACAAAGAATTATTTCACATATATTATATAGTCTTTGGCTGTTTAAGGCAGGAGAGTTAATCTGATCTGTTATTCCACCACAGAAGAAAACAAGTCTTCATTCAAGTATACATACTTTTCACTTAAAAACAACTACTTTTTCTAATCATTCATATGCAGTAAAAACAATTTCCTCATAGTATTATTTCAACAGGATCATGCTTATCCCTCTTCAAATTATGAAGGTACTTCTCAGTATGAAGGCTTCAAGATGTAACATGCAGTGTTCCTTTCTGTAAGCATTCTCTAGAGTTCAGTGAGTTGCCATTTCCTGATACCTTTGACTTGGTACAACAGTTTTTCTCATGTTTAGGTCTTCTAAATGATGAATATCAGGACTTTAAACTCACAGGCTCTGGATTACTGTATTTCTAGCAGTGTTATACTGGTAACATTTCACTGTGAGGCGTCATCCAACTGGTAATGAGCTGCATCTTCTGGGAGGAAGGGTTTCTACATTGTTTACTTTTACATACTCCCCCTTTCTGAGTTAATTAGTGACTCTGTGACTCTATAATAATGCTTCTCCAGTAGTCACTTTCTCCTCAAGGGTGTCTCTTAATATGTCTTCAGGTGTTTGTGTGATATCATAGAGCAGCTTTCCAGTCACTGTACTCATATGGCTTCTATATCAAATGATTCCTCTGATGTAGCATGAGCTGTGACTTCCTGTGGAAGGTGGTCCACACTCACTACATTCATAGTTATTTCCTGTATGAATTCTCTGATGCCTCATAAGGTGTGATTTTCTAGTGAAAGATTTCCCACATTCACTACACTTATAAGGCCTCTCTCCTGTATGAATTCTCTGATGGATGGTAAGTTGTGCCTTCTCAAAGAAAGCTTTGGCACAATCACTGCACCCATAGGTTTTCTCTCCAGTGTGATTTCTCTGATGCTTAATGAGCTGCACTTTCTGAACAAAGGCTTTGCCACACTCACTGCATTTGTAGGGCTTCTCCCCTGTGTGAATTCTTTGATGCCTCAGGAGCTGTGGCTTCCAGGCAAAAGTTTTCCTGCATTCACTACATTCAAAGGGCTTTTCCCCAGTATGGGTCCTCTGGTGATGAATGAGACTGGACTTCTCACTGAAAGTTTTCCTGCACTCACTGCATTCATAGGGCTTCTCACCTGTGTGTGTTCTCTGGTGTGAGATCAGGCTTGACTTCTGGGTGAAGGCTTTCCCACATTCACTGCATTCATAAGGTTTCTCCCCAGTGTGAGTTCTCTGATGTGTGAGGAGCTGTGACTTCCCAAAGAAGGTTTTCCCACATTCAATGCACCCATAGGGTTTTCCTCCTAAGTGAAGTTTTTGATGTCTTATTAGCTCTGATTTCTTGAAGAAGGCTTCTTCACAATCACTGCATTGATGAGTCTTCTCTGCAGTGTGGGTTACCTGATGTTTGACAAGCTGCGGCTTTCTGATGAAGGCTTCACCACATTCGCTGCACTCATAGGGTTTCTCTCCTGTGTGAATCCTCTGATGCCTAATGAGGAGTGAATTTCTGCTGAAGGCTTTTTTACACTCACTACATGCATAGGGTTTTTTCCCTGTATGAGACCTATGATGAGTAATCAGCTGTGACTTCCAAAAGAAAGCCTTTCCACAATCATCACATTTATAAGGTTTCTCTCCTGTATGCATTCTTTGATGTGTGATGAGCTTTAACTTCTGGGAGAAAGTTTTCCCACAGTTACTGCAACCATAGGGTTTCTCTACCGTGTGAATTATCTGATGTCTTTTAAGCTGTGACTTCCTGCTGAAGGCTTTTCCACACTCACTGCATGCATAGGGCCTCTCTCCAGTATGAATTCTCTGATGCAGAATGAGCAGTGATTTCCGGCTAAAAGCCTTGGGACACTCCCCACATCCATAGGGTTTTTCTCCTGAGTGAGTCCTGTGGTGAAAAGTGAGCAAGGACTTCTGCGAGAAGGCTCTCTCACATTCACTGCACTGGTAGGACTTCTCTCCTGTGTGAGTTCTCTGGTGCACAGTAAGTGGTGACTTTTTATTAAAAACTTTGCCACATTCTATGCATAAATAGATTTCTGAATGTGTTACATGTTTTGGAATGAGCCATGACTCTTTGCTGCTGGTTTTTCTAAATTTATTGCAATCATAGTATTTTATTTCACTAAACATATTGTCAAGTGTTTTATAAAAATGTAATTTTTTACTGAGCTCATCAACTTTCTTTCTGCCACAGTTATTTTTTAGAATAATAAAATTGAAAGGGTTTTTCAAACTTTTTTCACCTGAGGCATACTCTTGAAATTTCATTCCTAAATGAACAACATTCATGCTTGAATTAAGTATTTTTCCCAAAACATCATATCCATGGCCTGTTGGCATACTTTTGTCTTGATTACCTTGATGCCATATTTTGGAATTACTGTCTAGCCAGACTTCTACAAAGAAAAAAAAAGAACCACAATGTAATACACACAATAATTATCAGTATGAATTAAGTCTCTGAAATGAAGCTTGGGGTCCTGGGTGGGAGACCCTTCAAATAATGTCTATTTATAGGGCATTGAAAATGTTAACAGAAATGTTAACAGAAATTATACATTATGCCTTCTATTTGGATCTATAGCTCAAGCCATGTATCTTAAATCTAAATGTAATACTATTAATAGAAATTATTCCATAGAATTCTTTATATAATGTCAAATAGATCTTATACACCATGTAAGTACAACTGTTTACTTCCAGAAGAGGACCACTTATTAGATAATTTCATGGTAATTTTTTTTTTTTTCTGGTACCAGGAATCGAACTCACAAACTTGCGCTTGCCATGCAGGCGCTGTGCTGCTGAGCTAAATCCCCAGCCCCCATAGTAATCTTTTATTTTGTCATTTTTTTTGGTTTTGTTTTTCTTTCTGTACCAGGAATCGAACTCACAACCTTGCACTTGCCAGGCAGGTGCTTTGCTGCTGAGCTAAATCCCCAGCCCATAGTAATCTTTTAAAAGGTTTGTTTTTATTTTTTATTTTTGATGATATTATTTACTAGCTATTGTGAAGTAATGTTCCCAGGAGGTGCTCCACAAGATAAAAGATTTGGCAAGGTCTCAAAATATAAAGCAACTGAGAGAGATAACTTCAAGGTTGGTTGTCTACTAGGGATTAAACCTGGGGCCTCTGCTACATCTTCAGTTCTTTTTATTTTGAGAAAGGGTCTGGCTAAGTCACTAAAAGTTGCCAAAGCTAGGTTTGAACTTGCAATCTTCCTGCTCAGCCTTCCAGAGTACCTATATTCTGAAAATGTACTAGTATACCTGGCTTCTAAGAAATAATTTTTTTTAGTTGGGAAGGGAGTCTAATCCTTAAACATAAGAATTCAAATGAAGAAGCAACTTGATCTGCTGATATGGAGCACAATGAGAGGAGACTCAGTGTTTTGTATATGAATGAAGATGATATAATTCATAGAGATGAAATATAATGGAATCAAGTTTGGAGGTCAAAAGCAAGAATCATAGACATATGAAGTATGAAATACACTTGAAGAGTTTATAGCAAGTTGTTTAGGAGTATGAATACACAGAAAAACAATAGTTTTAAGTTAAAATCAAGATCTAAAATTTTAAAATATACTCAGCTGTGGTGGCACACACACCGATAATCCCAGCAGTGTGAGAGGCTGAGGCAGGAAGATCATAACTTTAAGCCCAGCCTGAATAACTTAGGAAGACTTTGTCTCAAAATAAAAAATTAAAGGATTGAAGATTTAGCTCAGTGAAATGACCTTGGGTTCAATTCTCAGTACTGTCCTCTCCCTCAAAAAGCCCCTAAAACAAGTCTATACATACATACCACCTGCATCTATATCTATATCTATTTATCTATCTATGTATGTATTTTGTGTGGAGGAGGTTGAGACAGGGTCTCACTATGTAGTTCAGGCTGAGCCTTAAACTCACTATGTAGCCCAGGCTTGCCTTGAACTAATGGCTATTCTCCTGTTTCAGCCTCCTGACTGTTGAGATTATAGGCATGTACCGCCATCCTGGTCAAAACTTATCATTTTGGAAAAGAGATGGACCATCATCAGTGTTATGTACAGGAGAACAAATATACTTCACCTGGCCCCTAGCCCTTATTTCATCCTATTTTTCCAAAATTGTATTCCTATCTCTAGTCCAGCTCCCAATTCCAGTCTCTACATGGCATCCACTAATCTTTAAGAAATAGACGCAGGACTTTTCATGCCTCTGCTTGAAAACTCTGCTAAATTCAAAGGTTTATCATGTCATAGAAGCCCTCATACAACCTGGTTTCTTCCAAGCTCTTCAACTTTATCTCATAAGACTATTTCATAATCATACTGTTCCCTAATTTGATCACAAAGACATTTTCCGCCTTAGGACATCTGTACTCACTGTTCCTTCTGTTTGGCATGTTTTCAGCATGACTGGTCCTTCAAATCTAAATATCTTTTTTTTTTTAAAGATAGGGTCTTGCTGTGTAGTTCAAGCTGGTCTTGACCTCACTGTGTAGCACAGGCTGCCCTAGAACTTGGGGCAATGTTCCTCCTTCAGCCTCCCAAGGGGTAAGATTATAGGCATGTGCCACTATGCCAGGCTAAATCTAAATATCACTAGATAGCACACTAACAAGTACCCCATTTAATCCCTTCATGGTACTTATCTAATAAGTATCCTGTTCTTGCTGTTTCTCTCAGGACAGTATAAACCTCATGAAGGTAGGGAACAGGCTTGTGTTTTTCACTGATGCTCTCCTCAGAAGCATAAATGCTGTTCACTCACTAAACTTCTAAAGTAGTTCCTTCTGTATTGTTAATCTTCATTATAATTTGCACTTTAAGCCAAATGCTTGATGTTCAAATACTAAATTATTGAATATCTTATTTAGAAAAAAAACACAGGAAGAAAAGAGGCGGAGAGCCTCCTCACTGTGTTTAAGGTATTAGATTTATATTCTGAAACCATGAGGCCTCCTTCTACCCTCTCTGTGGGTTTAAAGTATGTCAGCTGGGCGTGGTGGCGCACACCTATAATCCCAGCACTTGGGAGGCTGAGGCAGGAGGATTGTTGTGAGTCCAAGGCCAGTCTGGGCTACAAAGTGAGTTCAAGGCCAGCCTGAACTGCATAGACCCAGTCTCAAATAGACTGAAAAAAAAACAAAACAAAAAAACAAAAAAACCCCCCAAATATGTCAAGTAAGAGGAAAAAAAGAAGTCATTTAATTGCTTTTTTTTTTTTTTTTAATTTTTTTGTGTACCAGGAATCAAACTCAGGACCTCACACTTGCCAGGCAGGCACTGCTTAAGTGCTTTTTGACTGAAATAAAACTCACTTGTAATATCCATCATCTAAAATGAGAAAAAAAATCAGAAATTCTTCAGGAAGAAGACAGTAGTCTGCTTCTACAGGTTAGATTGGAGGCTGGGAACAAGACAGAGAAAGTGACTAATTAACTAGGAAGAACTACTTTATTTTAAGAAGGCAGGGTTCTAAATAGCTGGCTATAGATCTGTGTACTGTATAGGTAAGAAGGGTACATTTCAGTCATGTGTTGTGCCTCATGCCTGTAATCTCAGCACTCTGGGAAGCTGAAGGAGGAAGATTGTAAGCCGAATCTCAACCCAGGCAACTCAGCAATTTAGTAAGACCCTGTCTCAAGACAAAGAAAATAAAAAGGACTGGGGATACAGCTCAGTGTGAAGGCCCTGGATTCAATCCTCAGTACTGCAAAAAAGAAAAAAAGATGCATTTCACTATAAACATGCAGAGAAGTGGAAACTAGGTCATAAAGCACATTAATTAAACATCACAACAACTCATGATACTGGGCTTGAATCTAAAGATTTAGGAACTTTAAGCATAATATATAACCAATATTGCAAAAATACTTATCACCAAAAACATGAGATAACTTTCACTGTTTCTCAAACAACTGAATATGTCTCACCTGGAAAGTTCTGACTTAGAATTTCTTCATCTATTATCCAGGGCTCTTCCTGGTCTAGCTTGAAAACTGCATCAGACTTGGTAATCTGATAACCTGTTAATTGGAAAACAGAGGACTTGTACCCATTTGCCTGAGCTGAGAGACTAGTGTGAGGAACTGTTATTACGAAGGCTGTAAAATAAAGCAAACGACTAAATCTTCCAAATTGGTATAGAAATCCAGGCCTCTATGATACCTAGAACTTATATCCAAATCAATAAGCTCCTCAGAGTCCCAGGTAATGGACACACACTGACTGACAGAACGTCTCACCTAGGAAGACAAGGCTGCTGTAGTTCTCCAACATCACGTCTCTATACAAGCTCTTCTGAGTAGGGTTCAGCAGCTGCCACTCCTCCCATGTGAAGTCCACAGCAATATCCTCAAATGATATCTGAAAAGCACAATCCCAGCTGAATCAGAAACGAGTCTTATGAAGTCTTGTGGAACAGAAAAGCTTTCATCTATTTGTGGCCAGCAAAGCCACCTCTGACTCTGTGAGATAAATGTTAATTGCTTTCAGCTACTGAGGTTTGGGGTACTTTGTTACACAGCTATGGATAACTAATATGACATCCTAATTGTGCATTATGCTTTCACAGGCAAACGAAAGTACTATGAAAATATTTACCATTGAGAATTTATTCATCCATTCCACTGAACATGAAAGCAGAGTGGGCTGTCTTTAATTAAGTGCAGTGGTTCCCAAAGAAGTGTCACTGGTATTTGAGAGCAGTTCTTAGCTAAGCAGGAATGGTCCAACAGCATAAGACCTCCAGGATGCCTGGACTCCACCTGCAAATGTCAGGTGGAGTCACACTTCCCAGTCCTTCAAAACCAAGCCATCCTCCTTCCTCCAGGGGTGGTTCTGCTCTCAAGTCAGATAAACTACCTAGCTCCCTTAGCTATCTTCTAAAACACAGATATTGGTGTTTTAAGGTTCCAGGAACTGTAAGAAGGACTAAAAATACAAACATAAGTACAAAAAATTCATACTTTAAAATACTTTTTAGTCTTTCAGGGCAGAGGCAAACACATCTTGCAGAGGCTATGATATAAGCACATACAGGGATAGGACAAAGCAATATAAGAGCCCTGGATCTAAGTCTAGATGGTCAGGCTGCAAGCTTATGAAGACTCCTAGCGAGGGAAGTGGGAGAGGGAATGTTTCAGAATAGTAGCATGAGCAAAAGCATGAAAAAATTGTTTACTGGCTCAGGGCTGGGGCTGGGAGCGCAACTCAGTGGCAGAGTACTTGCCAAGCATTGCATGAGGCCCTGGGTTCAATTCCCAGCATCACACACACACACACACACACACACACACACTCAGAACATAATAGAACACATGGGAGAATGACAGTGAGAATGATCCTGGTCTCTTTTGATGTGAAATCTGAAATTTGGCAGGACTGGCAGGGGCCAGCTTTCATTTAACTCAGGTACATTTGCCCCTGCTAGCCCCAACAATTTCAAAGGACCAGGAAGAAAGGAGAAAAGCTTAGAGCAAGCTCCTCAAATAGATATCTAACAGGATATCTTTCCACGTTAAACTGAAGCCCCAAAAGGGTAACTCAGTGTTTGGAGCAATAAAAAAATAGGATCAAATAACATTAACTTCTTGCCTCAAACCTGGGTATTATATGGAGGGATAAAAGTTGTCCCAAGAATTAACAGAGACAAGCTAGGTTCATTTATGTGCGTGGGTGGGCTAAATTCACAATACAGGTGTTTTTAAAAAAAATCGTATGCACAGAAAGTTTTAAGGTGGTTTGGATTAGAAGTACATCTAGATATCTGGTACAGTTGAATGTGTAGTTTTATCTACAGAAAGATACCACATACTTCCCAAAAAAGTTTCAAGAAAAATGAGTTCAGAGTAAAAAAGAAGTCAGAATGTACATTAAAAATAAAGAATAACGACTGAAATCAAATTTCAAAACAAGAGTACAGATAGACAGATATGAGGTGCCTGAAATGTCAAGACAGTGTGATATTAGTGAAAGGATAAATGTACAACCCAATAAAATAGAGTATATAGCCCAGAAATAAACCTCCACAAGGATACTCAATTGATTTAGCACAAAAATCCAAAAAATAATTCCATAGAGAAAGAAGAGACTATTCATCAGGCATGGTGGCACATACCTATAATCCCAGCATTAGGAGGCTGAGGCAGGAGGATCACCACAAGTTTGAGGCCAGCCTGGGCTATATAGTGAGTTCAAGGCCAGCCTGAACTGCAAAGTGAGACCCTGTCTCAGAAAAAAAAAAAAAAAAAAAAAAGACTATTCAACAAAGAGTAGCCAAGTTCAGTAGTGCACACCTTCTCCTGAGGAGAAGCTAAACAAATAGGATAATGAATTAGAGGCCAACATGGGCAATGTAGGAAGATCTCACCTTAAAACAAAAAGTGCTAGAACAATGTATAACCAGAAGAACAATCCTCAACACATACTTCTTATATAACTCAAAATGGATCACACATCTAAATGCAGAACATAAAGCTACAAAGCTTCTGAGAAAACTTGCATGCTCTTGGGTTTGGCAATGAGTTTTCAGATTTAATATCAAAATCATAACCAATTTAAGTAAAAAAGAGACAAATGACTTTTTCAAAATTAAAAAGGTTTAGCCAAGCATGGTAGTATACATCTATAATCTCAGAACTCTAGGAGGTAGAGGCAGGAGGATTGCAAGTTCGAGCCCATCATGGGAAATTCAGCAAGACCCTGTCTCAAAATAAAAAGCTGAGTATGGTGGTATATGCCTGTTATCCCAGCACTCTGGCAGGATTATCTCAAATTTGAGCCAACCTGGACCATTTACCAACTTAATGAAACCCTAGCTGAAAATAAAAAATGAAATGGGCTGGGGAAATAACTCAGTGTGAAAACTTTGGGTTTACCCTAGTACTACATCAAAAAAAGGTTTGCTCTGCAAAAGACAGTATTAAAACAAAAGATGCCAGGCATGGTGGTACATGTCTATGATCCCTGTTACTCCAGAGGCTGTGGCAAAAATATTGCAAGTTTAGACCAGCCAGTACAACTCAGTATGACATTATCTCAAAACAAAAAATAATAAAGGGCTGGGTTTGATTCCCAGTACCACAAATAAAAAAGAAAAGGAAAAAAGATCTAGAACAGACTGGGAGAAAATACTTCCAAATCACCTATGTGTTGATGCACTTATACTCAGAATACAAAGAAGAATGCTACAAGAAAACCAACAACTCCATCTTAAAAAGTAGGCAAAGACACGTCATCAAATATATATGGATGCAAAATAACATATGAAAGATGTTACAATTCATTCTTCAAAAGGAAAATACAAATTAAAACCATGAGATATTACTATATACTTATTAGAAGGCCAAATTCAAAAAAACTACTGACTATTGTTGATTAGTATGTGGAGTGACATCAATTCTCACTCATTGTGGGAATGAAAAATGGTACGACTTCGAAAAACACTTTGGGTGGTTCTAGATTTACCACAGGACCCAAAATTCTCACTCTTAGGTGAGTTGAAAATGTATGTTCACATGAAAACTTTTTTTTTTTTTTGGTACCAAGAATTGAACTCAGGACCTCATGCTTGCGAGGCAGGTGCTGTGCCATTGAGCTATATCCCCGGCCCCACATGAAAACTTATGCACAAGCCTATTTGCAGATGAATACTTTATTCAAAATTGCTAAAAAGTGTAAGCAATCACAAGTAAGTGGAAAAACAAAATAGTGCCTCCAAACAGGAGGAAATATTCAATGATACCACTCAATGATACAAATGAACAAACTGGATCAATCTCAAAGATAAGGTTACATATTTTTATTCCATTCACATGACACTCTGGAAAATGCAAAATCATAGCAACAGAGAACACCTCAACTGATCCCAGGATCAGGGATACCTTTTTATAGAGGGATAGCCCAGGGAGTTTCTTTGGGGTAACATAAGTGTTCTGAGTGCTGACTGATGTTGATTACATGAATTTGTACTTGCTTGAAAACTTGTATGGCAAGCCAGCTCCTGGCTATAAATCTATGTGTGAATTTTCAGCCAAGCACAGGCAATTCAAAGGCTTTCTCTGGCAGGTCTCATGGGGGAACACTGCTTTCCCCATACCAGCCTTAGTGCACAGCCAATGTGTTGTAGACTCTAAAGAGCTGATCCCTGTCACTGAATGTATTTCTAATACTTAAGTACTGTCTAAATCCCTGACAGGAACTGTTATAGCAGGGCCACAACAGCATACGAGGACTATAAGCCCCTGACTCATAGCTATAGTTAATACCCTTACCATTTGATCAGGCCATTGGCTAACCTCGGAATGGCCTATAAAACAGGGCGCCTTGGGGATGGGACATTTGCACAAAATCAGTTCTGTTTCTAAAAAAGTTCTATTGTTTGTTTGTTTGTTTGTTTGTTTTTGATACTGAAGACTGAACCTAGGACATTCTTACTGTGCTACATTTCCAGGTCTTTTGAGATAGGGTCTTACTAAGTTGCTATGTAGCTTAGGCTAGGCTCAAACTTAAAATCCTCCTGCCTCAATCCATTGTGCTGGGATTATAAGTGTACAGCAGCATTGCTTGGAGTGCTTTTATGTTACCCATTTGGCTCCCCAGTAAAGTTCCTGTGCTGACCAAGGAAACAAAACCAACAGATTGTGCTTGTCAACTTGCATCCTGTACTCCAAAGCAAGCAGATGTATAACTAATTGCCTTCCGTCCAGGAGGAGATGCCAGTACAGTTAGGAGATGTGAAATAGCTAGGAATTCTCTGGCCTGCCCTCCAGACCTCACCACAGAGCACTTCTAGATTTGCCCACGCTCACTAAGCAAGAGGTTTACAACTAACTGCTCCACACAGTCCCTTGGAAACATGTGCTATACCAAAAGATCCAGACCAGGCCCAGAACACCCCCACAGGAGGCCCACAGAGGGAAATCATCTGGGATACCTGCTAACATCCCTGCCAGATTAATTTCTGCCTTAATATTGTCAATTCCTTGTGTTGGTGGCAGGAGGGGGGAGAGTGTCACATGTGTTCCCTGACTTCCATGTGTTCCCCGACCACTATGATGCTGTCTTACCCTGGTACATCTGGGTCAGATCTAACTCACTGGCCTGAGTTTTACTAGGCCTAACTGGAGAACTTCAGAAACCTGGCTCTCAGAGGCTGGGGATATAGCCCAGTGGCATAGCGCCTGCCTGGCAAGCGCAAAATCATTAGTTTGATTCCCAGTACCACCAAAAAAACAAAACAAAACAAAACAGAAACCTGGGTCTCTAATGGCTGTGATATTTATTTTTTACCTGGAGTAGCCTTCCTCATAGCCCTGGTCGGTTGGTGCCTCGGAGTAATTATCTGGTTATGATCACAGCCGCCCCACTCCCAAAGTCTAACCGACAGTTTCCATGACGAGGTAGCCCATGTCTTATGCTTAAGTGCTGAAAACTCAGGAGTAGGGTTGTGGAGCTCTAGGTGAAAAACCTACATGTGATGTTGGGAATGGCTGAAGAAGTCTGTAATCCCAGCTGTGTGGTAGGCTGAAGCAAGACTGCAAGTTCAAGTACAGCATGGGCAAGTTAGTGACTAAGTGAGACCCCACCTGAAAATAAAAATAGGGCTGGGGACGTAGCTCAGAGCACAAAGACCTTTGGTTCAATCCCCATTACCACAGAAACAAGAAGCAGCTTCTTGGTTTTAGGTCCAACCACACACATTTATAAAGGCTACACCTGGAAGGCGTCACAAGAAGGGCTGCTTCCTACACCAGACTTATGCACAGCCATTCTCCATGGGAGCCACAGACAAGGTCCTGACCTGATTGCCTGCACTCCTAGCCCAGGCATCTCTCCTAGTCTCTCTGTGAAGCATTCCTTGGTGCTGATGTTGAGACCTGCTCATAGGGTGAGGGAGGCCCTGATAACACTTTTCTTCACTCTGACTTAGTACTCAGGATTCTTCTTGGTTCTTTCCTCTATGTCCAGGGCCTATCAAACTGTTGGTGCCTTCCACTCAGAGCTCCTTCAGCAACAACAGTAGGATGAACTCCAAGTTTGTGCTGATAGACCTGATCCTTAACCCACATGCCATTCTTGGGGACTCTGGCCCTTAGCTTATACAAAATCACTCTGTAAGAAACAGTCCTGGGAAATACAGTATGTTCATTCATTACAGGGTTGCCTTTTACAACTTGGATCACTATACAACCTAAATGGCCATCAAATTGTTTCCTTTATATGTATTTATCAGGGTATGCTCACTTGTCCTGAATAGCTGGTCTGCTTTTTCCTTTGGACAAAGTAAACTACGTCACTGTTCCGTTTCCCTTTCTGCTGCACCTTCTGGAAATACTTGAGAAAAGCTTGCAACTCAACTCTGTGACACTGCAGCAGCTTACATCATATTTACCTATGTTTTGTATTGTATGCCTCTATAAAGTACTTTGTGCTTCTTTTGACATCTTCTATCCAAAGGCTATACTTTCTCCCATTACGATTTACATGTATTTAGACCTTTCCTGTTTGTTGTAGAGATTCTAATAACCGTCATTATGCCACAAAAATAAAATAAAATAAAATTTAAAAACCCTCCCAGAGGATAAACAACCCACCTGTGACTCAATCATTTCTACTGCTTTTGGGAAACCTGCTGGTTTGTGGCTTGTCAGTCCTGACTAGATAGAGTCTTCTGGTCAAAGGTTTGGAAACCAAGAATCCATTCTCATTCCTGAAGCCTTCTTCACTTGCTGCATATGAACTGTCTTGTTCCTGAGAGTAAGGGCCTGTAGATGCAGCAGATATGTTATTTTGGATGATGTCATTCCTTTAGGAACCTAAATCTTGTTTTTCTCTTTCTGGTAACTCAGATAATTTAAAGACTAGATGTTTGATAGATACAAATAAGGCCTATTAGGTAAGAAATAGGAAGGAATGTGACATATCTCATTGAGGCTGGCCACCACTGGACCACAGTCCTGGCTTCTACCCATGAATACCACGTTGAAGCTACTCACCTCACTGGTTCAATCAAACACTCCTGGCAAGTGCACCTGCACCAAACTGCTCTGCAGAGACATCAAGAAACTCTGGAAATATAACAACTCATTCTTTCTATAGCAATGATTCCTGGAGGGGGCAGGAAATTATTAATTTAAATGAAATCATTGGCACAGATGCTATAAGTAAAATGCAACTCATTCCTAGGTAAGATGGTAAATATAAAATGGCTATTAAATGGAGATATTTAATTAGCACCGTAGGTTGGCTCCCCACCCCCAAATCAGCCCTGGAACAAAAGGAAAACATGGGTCAGAAAAACTAATTGGATGAAAAAGATAATCCTTGGGGATATTTGTTTATGTTGGGTCTGAGACTGAGAAGGGCCTAGCTTTAGCCTACAGCAGGTGGCGGCCAGAGGGGACTGCAAGATAGAGATCTAAGGATATCTTTTATGTTGCTTCTGTCTCATCTCACACTGGGACAATGCTGCCTGTAGTTTCCCCAAGAAATCAACACTAGTAGCAGGATATGGTGGCATACATCTGTAACCCCAGCTACTTGGGAGGCTGAAGCAGGAGGATTGTAAGTTCAAGGCAAGCCTGGGCAAGTTAGTGAGACCCTGTGTCAAAACAAAATAAAAGGGCTGGGTAAATCAGTGGTAGAATGCTTGCCTAGCATGTTTGAGCCCCTGGGTTCCATCTTCAATACTGCAAAAAGAAAAAAAGAGAAAACGAAATCAACACTGTAGCCCAGGACCCATGTTTCCAAGGGGCATTTGCAGTAGATCAATCAAAACCCTTGCTGAGAAACACCAAGGGCTATTGTAGCTGCCTTTGGGCCTGATCTCATCCCTACCTCCAGTGTCCCGCTGGATGGCCAGTGAAATCTCTCCACCACCTGCTTCTCTTTAAGACCTCCCATCCCTGATCAGACAAGCCACTTAGATGGGTGACGGACACAGGTAGTTTCTACGTTCCCTATGGTCTACATTGTGAGCCCTGGGTCCAACTCCCCAGAAGTCTCAAAGATGAAGGTCTGGCCTTTACCCTTTGCTCCCTCCCCCAGTGCACAACACTAGAGCACATGAGAAGACAGCACCCCCCCTAAAAGGTGTATGAACTCAGAGGTCTATAAGTGCAAAATTAAATTAAAAATAAGAAAATCCTAATTTTCCCTCTTCTGAAAAAGAGACTTACCCCACTGCTTTTCAAAGATCATCTACTTTACAAGCCTATAACTGTAAATTATTTCTCTGCCCATTTGAGATGTAATTAATTTTTTTCTAAAGCTAGTAAGTAAGCCTTTTTTCTTGTTTGTTTGTTTGTTTGTTTGTTTTTGGTCTTTTTGAGACAGGGTCTCTCTACGCAGTTCAGGCTGGCCTTGAGCTCACTTTGTAGCCCAGGCTGGTCTCGAACTCACAACGATCCTCCTGCCTGAGCCTCCCGAGTGCTGGGATTACAGGCGTGCGCCACCATGCCCGGCATAGCCTTTTGATAGTTTAATAAAACTGGGAGCAATTTTCTTCTTAAGAAGAAACTACCTCTAGCTAGGACCATCTCTAGCTCCCTATTTCTCAGATCCTGTGAGAAGGTGGGAACCCACCTCTACAAGTCACCTTGCTCTGACTTGTAAAGTACCTGGTCACAAAGATGAGAAGTTTTTTTCCCTCTGGGTAAGGATAATTAGCAAATAGTCACTCCAATTAGTTGGTGAATTTAAGATGAACTGTGCATGACAAGTGCTGTTCAGTCCTCTTTCTTGAAGACCTCTTACTGTTTTTCTTGAGAGCATACGTGCATTGGTATCTCTGCCTGGCTACAGAAAAAGGCCAGATAACAATGTGAGTATGGTTATTTAACAGAAGTCACCTTATGAGAGACTTACCTGAGCCACTTGTGACCAAGCCCATCCAGACCTACTTCTGCACCCACAAATTTGACCTTCCAGCTCCACATCCCAAGACCTCTCCAGGTCATTAAACTCAACTGGCCCAATCACAAACATCCGAATCATATGATCACTGAACCTCATAAACTCTACTTCACTCATGTTATGTGCCCCTATTATCCTCACAGAACCACAGTTACTGACTACATAGGTCCCCGTACTCTCCCCAATAGGCCATCCTTTCAAGGCCATCAAGGACACACACTGTGGGTTCCCCAATGACTCATATGGCAGAGGCCCCAGCTTCTCACTCTCAGTGGCTCTACAATGACCATCCTTCAGAAATACTCAATTATGGACTCCACAGACCTGCACAGTATTGGTCCCCATACCACTTCACACAGACATCCAGAGGTCACTGACTCCTAACTCCACAATCACCCACTGCCAATGGCAAACAAGTCACCGAACTCTTTAGGCTTCCTGCTCACTGTTCACTGATACCCACAGAACCCTCAATTTCTCACCATACTCACCTGACACCATCATATGACATCTACAGACGTGCCAGTCATTCATCCCATGGAGTACTCAAACATCAAACCCCGCAAACCCTACAATCATTTCTCCTCACAGATCTTTGTTACTCACTGAATTATTCGCCAGTGCTCTGGTCATTAATATAAACAAGGTCCTTACCACTCATCTACAATCCCAAATAACTCAACCCAATCACGTGAGTAAATGCAATCCAAGATTTCTCCACATCCTCTACCCCAATCAATGATGTCCCAGGACCCTTCTTCATTCCTGACACAGCATGGGATGCCTAACCACAGAGTGCCCAGGGCCCACAAACACTCACTCCTAGTTTCAGCCATTCCTAAATTACAGCAGGCTGTCAATCACTCATTCCCCTGGGAGCTACAGGGTCATCCCTACAGGACCAATTCCTTCCCCTAGCCCCCATTTAACAAATGCCACAAGTGTTGGGCATGTGATACACACCTGTAATCCCAGCACTCTGGAGCCTGAGCCAGGAGGGGATCCTTGAGAGCTTGAGGCCAGCCTGGGCTACATAGTAAGTTCAAGGCCAGTCTGAATTGCACAGCAATACCCTGTCTCAAAAAAAAAAAAAAAAAAATCCCTCAAAACATCTCCACAGAGTATTCCCTGGTTAGAACTGAGTCGCTACAATCCTCAAACACTGAGTTCCAAAAGGTTCCCAAAGAATTGACATCCCCCTCTCCTACAGGTAACTACACACCTTAACAGGCCCCCTAAGCACTGCTCTTACATAGCCCCCCATCACTGACACCTTGAGTCTTGTTATTTCTTATCACCACAGGCCATTTAAATTAAGCTATAAGCCCCCAGGGATCCCCAATGCCTTATCTCACAGGGCCAAGAATTCACCTGCATATAGAGCCCTATTCTCTAATCCACTCCGTGATCACCTATCATTCACTGACAGCTCCATGGGTTCTCTTAACACCCTGAAAGGGCCCACAGCACTGCACAAATATTGGCACCCCAACCCTCCCAGCAACTGCAATTACTAGCCCCACTGACCCCTCACAATTCCATTAAACCAAACAACCATTAACTCACATCCAGATACCGTGCCCCAATCTGTGATGTCTCAGTTACAGGACCCCAAACAGGCCCAGAGAACCCCAACACCACCAGCACAGGCCACCCAGCCTCTCACCTCCACAGAAATAGCAGCCATTTAACTGGCAAGTAAATACAGAATAAGGAAAGATTTAATTCGAAAGGATTATTGGGGTTTAGGAGGGCGGGAGAAGGGACTGTTGCAACAGGGGGAGGGGAACTACAGCGATAGGGATTACACTGAGGCCCTCGGATTTAGGTGGAAGCACTTCTGCAAGACAGAAAGGGTTTTTACATTATGTGTAGAAGCAATGTCAGAAAAAACCAGGCATTGGGAAGTGGGTTAAGTGGTGGGGTGACCAGAGAATAAATCAAAGAATACCTCTGCCCTTTCTCATGACAAGCTGTACATAGACCAAGGTTCAAGGAACTACAGAAAGTAAAGAGTATTTAACCAAGGTTTGGTTAATAAATTTTTGTTGGTAATAAGTAGGCACAAGCTGCTCAGCTCATCACCGATGAAGTAAAGACTGAAACTGCATGAGACCTGTTTCGGGGTCTGTTACAGGGAAACAGGGGGACATCCTTGAGATTCATCTGTCATCTGCAGGAGGAGGGTGTATTGCTGTGAGCCTTTTCATGGAACAAGAGGTTGTGGAGACATCCCCATCAATGACCACCAAGTTCTGATTATCCTACAAATAAATCCCCAATGGCACGCACACACTCGCCCCGCAGTTGGACGGGCTACCCTACTACTAATCTACAAACCAACTTCCTCAAAGGGCCCGCCCATATCTCTAATCCCCTCACCTGGCCTCCAAACCTCTCACCCTCTCCCCTGACCCGGACTGCTAGTTTTCAGACGCTCCATGATCCGACCCTCCAACGTCCCCACATCGACCAATGCGTAATCCGCCTCAGCCAAAGCCACCTCAAATTCCTCGCGGCACCCACATACCAGTACTCAGATCCCACCCTCGCCTTGCCCCCACCACGCCCTGGTCTGGGCAGCGCATGCGCTGGGGCCCTGCCCCGGGCGCCTTTATCCACCCGGCTTGCAGTGGGTCTCTGTGAGACCCGGGAGGACACCAAGCCCACACTCTGCCTCCTGTCCAGCCCTACTCCCGCTCTACTTACTTTTACCTAGACTTCACCGCGCCCAGGCCGACACGGCCTAACAGAGGAAGTGGCAGCGCGGAACTACATTTCCCAGAGTACTGCTGGTGCTGGAACTGCGCTTCCCAGAGGGCCCCGCGGCGATCTGGGTGACGTGAGCTCTTACTGCCTCAGAGTGATGGGAGCTGGACCAGAGTTCTTCAATGTCAGTAGGCTGCGGAGTTGCTTCCGTTTGTAGGAGTGAGTGTAATAATTTAGCTAAATTTTCGTACCAGCCCAGCAGTGGTGAACGAAAACAATGGAAATAAGCAAGATGAGGATTTAGAGGAAAGTAAAACATGGCAATGGAAAGAGAAGAACATTACTGGATAGAAAAGCAGAAATTAAGGAAGCAAAGGAAAAATCTACACTTGGTGAGTCCAGTAATAAAAAACCAAAAGCATACTAAATTATCAAAAAATGTGGAGACAGCAAAAATACACACAGTTGATAACCAGAGTAGAAATAGCCGTAAAAACAAACTATTCATGAAATAATATTTTGCTCAATTCTGTGTTAACAAATTTGAAACCAAATAGGTAATTTAAAGGAACAGTTTACTAATTTAAGAAAATATCTTATTAGACCTAAAGCTATTGAAAATTTGAAGACATTTTTGTTTCCAGGCACATATGTTTTAACTGGTGAATCTGCTATACTTTCAAAGAATACAGTATAATTGTTTTAAAAAATCCAAACTGGGTATGGGGCTCACACCTGTATTCCGAACAGTCTAACAGGCTGTGACAAGAGGTTTGCAAGTTTGAGTCCAGCTTGGGCAATTTGCAATTTCAGGAAACCATGCCTCCAAATGAAAAAGATTGGAAATGTAGCTCAGTGTGAAAGTCCTGGTTTCAATCCTCAGTAGTGAAAACACAGCAAAGAACTCTCCAGAAAAATCTAAGCAGAACACCTTAAAGCAGGAAGTGTATCTCAGTGGTAGACCACATGCCTAGTGTGCTCCAGTCCCTGGATTCAGCCCCTATGTTATATACACACAGAGGGGCAGAGGTAGGATGCCTTTGTTATGGCAAAATTTATTGAGAAAGCACTCACAGGAGACTAACTATACAAAGCTTTTTTTTTTTTAAATGTTATTTATTTTTACAAACAAACCTTTATTGCCCGTGACCAACACTGATAAAGAGTCAGAAGACAAAATATTGGCCCCCATCTCGACTTTGCTTCCAGTTCAAATACCCTTGTGGTTTGCATAGTAACCACATTCTAAGGGTTTTGGACAAAAGGTCACAAGATTTATACTTCCCAGGTGTTCCTTAGGCAAGATGCAGTTAATCTTAGCTTACTCACAGTTTGTTTTATCTATTGGTTCTCTAGATAAAAGACTCATTCCTCCTCTTATGATTTGATGGGTAGCTAAAAGAAAGGGGTAAGAAGTGAATTCATCTAAATGTTAAGTGACCTTTTAAAATGGAGTTACAAAAAGAAAATGGAGCCAGGTGTGGTGGCACAGGCCAGTAATCCCAGCACTTGGAAGGCTGAGGCAGGAGGATCACTGCAGGTTTGAGACCAGCCTGGGCTACAAAATGAGCTCAAGGCCAGCCTGAACCACACAGCAAGACCCTGTCTCAAAAAAAATAAAAAAAAAAAAGGAAAAATAAAATGGAGTCTCTCTTGCCCTATCACTCTCTCAACGCAAAGCTACTTGTGTCCTAACTAAAGGTAGTATTAAAAAATCAAAACTATAAAGCAATTACAGTTTTCCTTGTGTGAAAATCTTGGGAAATTGAAAAGGGAATCAACAATACCTTTAAAAATATGCAGCCAAATAGACAATGTAATTCACCATATCAATAGATTAAAGGGAGAACACGAAACTTCAGTGCTGATCCAAACCTGGAATCCCAGCACCCAGAAGTCTGAGGCACAAGGATCTCAAGTTTGAGGTCGCCCTGGGCTATGTGGTGAAAGCCTGTCCCAAGAAAAGAAAAAAGAAAAGAAAAGAACCTTAATCTCAATTGAGATACAACAAGAAAAAAACTTGACGTTCTTTTTTTCTGGGATACCTGTCACAGGCTTCCTTTTTGCTTTCCTTTACTCCTCAACAGCTACCCGAGGATGGACTGGGACTACTTGCCTTAGTGTCCTTCCAGAACCCCTGAACTTATTTGTGGCTGATCTCCAGCTGCAGGAGAGGAAGCTTAGCTGGGCTGACAGTAGTCCTTCCCCTCCCCCACCTCCAGCTCTCTGAAGAGATAGCCAGGAAACTGCCCTTATCTTGACAAGATCAGGGAAGAATCCAAGCATGGTTAACATCTTCAAGATCTGCAAACTCCAGTAAGCTGTGATTATAACAACTAACCTCCAGAGGGGGCAACAGTCCCAATTTTAGCCCAGTCATTTTTAGTGTATGTGCTACTAAATTGAGTACTAGCACAACCATTTCTGTAGAGATACGACAACTGTCAAGCAACTGCTTCTGATGTTCCCCAATCTGTTTGTTGGCAGCTGCCCGGACAACTGTGACTGTCCTGAATGCCCCCACAGACTCCAAAAATTGTCTGTCCTGACAACAGCAGTCTTGAATTTGAGCCAAACATCAAAATTGAATTTAGATCAGTCCATAGGCCTGTAGGAGACCGTGACTGACCTCCATTGTATATTAGTAGCCCTCTTACGTGCCTTTCCCTTTAAGTCAGGACTGCCTACTGTTGCCTAGCTACTCCCGCCTCAAGAACTAGGACTACCCACCGTTACCTAGTTACTCCCGCCTTTGTCGGGTTATTTGGTTATTCCCGCCTTAGAACTTCCGCATTTCTCCGTGCCGTATATAAGCACGGCACTTCCCGCTAATAAACGAGGCTTGATCAGAATCCTGTCTTACCTCCATTCTTCGTGTCTCTTGTCCCTTTATAATCCCCACTCCCCTTCTAGGGTCCTCGTTGACTGTACCTGCAGGCTGGGACAAGTGGCGCCCAACGTAGGGCTCCAGCACGGGGGAATCTAGTGACGGATGCTGTTCAAGAGGCCGGCAAAAATAAAAGAGAAAGAAAGAGGATGAGATCGCGTGGGAACCTGCTACGCTTTCTAGACCTCGGTAAGTGAACAGAACTTATGGGACAAGAAATGAGTCAATATGAAATGTTTGTTGAAGGCTTAGGAAAAGCTTTAAAGGCACGAGGAGTAAAGGTTAAAATTTCGGAAGGAACTATTGATTCAAAACGATGGAAAAGAGTTGGTGATGCTCTGAAGGATTTTTGTGATGTTTTTGGGCCTGAGAAAGTCCCGGTAACTGCCTTTGCTTATTGGAATCTAATAGACAAAA